GCGACAAGTCGTTCGCCAATGGTACCTACGGCACTGACACTGTCGGCTTTGGCAGCGTCAGATCGAGAAGGCCAAATTTGCCTTGGCCAATCTCACCAACAGCAGCCACAATGTTTTCGGAATCGGCTTGGATGTCACGGAGTCGAGCAATGAACGGCGTGCTGTTTGGCCATGGCCATTCCAAAGGAAACTTTGTCTACCCCATCTCCCAGTGCTCATGACGTCAGGGGCTCATCCGGTCCATCAGTTACTCCCTGTTTTCGAACAGCAATTCGGCCAACAAGGGCAGTCTGCTCTTTGGTGGTATCGACCGTACCAAAGTTTAAGGGTATGCTGGGTCTCCTCCCTATGGTGCCAGTGCTGCCGACTTTGCCTGAAAAGGTTGCGTCTCTCAGTGTGGTTCTGAGTGGTTTGGGCGTTGGCCCTGACCTGGAGCATGAGTGCAAGCTGCTGGAGGGCAACCATGCCGTGCTTTGGACTCTGGCACTAGTTTCTCGTACCTGCCGGGCGAGCACGTTGAAGTTATTGGCAGTCTGGTTCCCAGCTTCCAGGTGGATGCCAATTCCAGCATCTACGTTTGGTCCCTGCGAGGATGTCCCTGACACCAATGTTATCTTCGACTTCAGTGGTGTGCGGATTCCCATTCCTCTCAGCTCTTTCTCCGTCCAGGCCTCGGATGACGACCCCTCTACGTGCATTCTGGCTGTTATTCCAGTTGACCGCAGTGCATTCGGCCAGTACACTGCCATTCTCGGTGATGAGTGTTTTGCGCTACGTCTACGCTGTTTCCAGCTGGAGACGCAGCAGGTTGCGCTGGCGGCTGCTAAACCACAACAGTGGCCCGGAGAGAGTCCAGGATATCTACAGCACCATTCCGCACGCGGTGTCTGCGCCGCGCTACTACAGCACCGGCTTTGCGACCAGCTTCTTGATGCACTCGTGCACTGTCCCCACCCCTGTCCACAAACACAATGCGACGGCGACTTGGCACGGCCATCCACACGACCGCGAATGCGACTGCGACTGCCACTGCCACTGCGCACCTCAACACGACGGCGAATGCGACTGGCACTTGGCACGGCCACCACACTATGGCCAATGCGACTGGCACCTGGCACGGCCACCACACGGCGGCCCAGTAGCACACATGCCGACGGATGCTACGGTCACCCAGGAGATCGAGTCCACTGTCTATCTGACCTCTACTGTGTTTAAGACTGTGCACCTGGCCAGCGCGACCGCGTTGAATGTGACTGTGGTCAATGCGACCGCCCTTGAACGAGACTGAGACTGTGATCAATGCGACCGCACTGAATGACACTCTGGGTCGATGCGAACGTCTTGAACGAGACCCGTCCACACGTCTATGTTACCTCCACTGTCTCCGCTACATCACCGTGCCCACCGCGACGACGACTATCCCCCAGGTGACTGTGTTTATCACTGGTGACTGTGGAGAGCACTGTGACCCCGACCCCGGTGGTGACTGTGTTCACGACGAGCACGTCCACTACCAAGCCCGTGGAGCCCAGCACCACCACCTACTTTGTAGTGTCACAGAGACGGTTCCAGTCACGCCGACGACCTCCCCCGTGGTGCTTGTGGGGGACCACGTCCACGTCCCCGAGCGTGCATACCCTGATCACGCCGAGTGTGCATCCTGCCCTGAGCACGGCGCCTGCAGCTGCGTCCGCGATCGCCTCGGCTGTCGCGTCTGCGGCAGCGTCTGTGGGCGCGGGCGGCGCAGCGTCTGCCGCGACCTCTGCTGCGGCGTCTGCCGTGGCTTCTGTCGGCGCGAACACGGGCGGCTCTGCGGCCGTCGCCACTGCTGCGGCCTCGGCGGTGGCCATCTGCGGGCGGTGCGTCAGCCGCAGCGTCTGCAGTAGCGTCTGCAGCCGCGAGCGCCTACGCGCGCTTCTACGTCGAGAAGGTTGTTTCCAGCTACGGCACGTTCCTGGCGCGGCCCACCACGTTCGGGCGGCCAACCGGGTGTTCATCGTGACCGAGCCGCAGTCTGTCTTCCTGGAGGACTGCCCCTGCAAACCCTCGCCGTGCCGCGCGAGGGAGGCCCGCGAGCTCGAGCGGCTCGAGCGGCTCGAGCGGCGGCCATGTCGACGACCACGCACGAGTCGAGCAAGAGACACGACCATGCACGAGTCGAGCAAGAGCAACACGACCACGCGCGAGTCGAGCAAGAGCAAGAGCAATGGCGCCGCTGTGGGCTATGGCTGCGCGGTGCTTTTGCCGCTGCGCTCCTGGCCCTTGTGTAGGCTAGATATGCGAGAGCCAGTACCCCCGCCCCCCGGGCAGGGCCGGTCCCCCACGGCGGCGGGCCCTTGCCTGTTGCCCCCCTGGCGCCCACATGAGGCGGCTCCCCCACCCCCTGGAGACCCCCACCAGACGTAGCGTTTTACTAACAGAAACCCGTCTGGCGGTTTTCCAGGCGGCGCAGCTGGCGGCCCCGTGGTGGGGGCCGCGCGGCGGCAGCCACCACCACAGCCGAGACGGCGGTCGAGACCGCGACGGCACGGCGAGCTCCAGCGACAGCGACGGCGTCGGGTCGAACGGCCCGATGGCGTGGACCTGGGCCCGGGTCGCGGTGGAGTACCTCGAGGGCACCTGGAGCAGCAAGTCGCAGATGGTGATCACCGGGCCGGACTTTCATGACCCCCGGGGGACGAGGATCGTGGGCCGGCCCTGCCGGGCCTCAGCTACTCCTTCCCAGCGACGGGTACTTTGGGGGCAGGCGACCTACGAGATTGGGGGCCAACGGCAGCCACCGCTGTGTCCACGGCCTCCATCGTCTTCCAGCACGGCACCAAAACGCGGAGTCAACGGGACGTGCGCTCTCCCCCCTTTGAGGTGGAGGGCGGCGTTGGTGAGCGACCCCCTGCGGGCTGACAAGAGCCAGAGCAGCTACGCGCGCTACTCGCAGAGATCACCTTACCCCTTCAACGTGCAGGTCGACCCGTACCAGGGCGGTACCGGCGAACCTCTTCCCAAACGACGGGCGCCGCTGGCCCGCTGTAACCTGGTCTACAAGCCGCCGCAGATGCTGCCCACGGGAGATGAACCCGACCCGACGGCTGGCCGGCAGCACCCGGCGCCGCGTGCGCCGCGCCTGGCGAACCGCGGCCGCTCCAAGGCGGTCGCCGCCACGCGAGCCACGACGTATCGGGTGGCTGGGGTCGGGTGATGGCGGGGGGGCGGGTGGGTGCAACCTGGTATTTAGTTAGCGCGGAGCGCATGCATGATGGGGGGGGAAGGGGCGGCTAGGAGGGCTGGCCAGGCAGGCAGAACGTCCACTACATACTTTGGCCCGCTGGCCGCCGGGGCCGGCTAGCCGGGTGGGCTCCGGCCCGTAGCAACTTTCGTCAAAGCGATGCTGGGAGGCTACGCAGGGCTCGCCAGAAAGCCGTCCTCGGGCAGAGCCCCGGCGGCCGTCCTTGCATGTTGGCGACCCAGGGGGGAGCACCGGTCGTTGGCTTGAGCCGCATACTCGCCGTCCCGCAGTCGGGCACCTCGACAAAGAGGGCGGCCGCGAACGGGTCAGGCGGAGACGATGTACTGGCCGGGACCTTGATCTTGGTGGCCGGCGTCCGGAGCACCGCGAAGCGGGAGCGCGGCCAGGATCGAGGCCATCACGTGTCGTGGTTGAAGCGACGTAGTTAGGCTGGTCCCCGGGAAGGTTTGGGTTGTTTGGTTGGTCCAATGACGCCGTTGGGGCCCGGGTTTGATGTAGTGGTGGCTCAGGCGGCCCCTCGGCCCCCGCAGCCAGGGGGGGGCGGGGCCGGGGCGCAGGGGGGAGCCCACCGCGTCCCCGAGAACTTGAGGTCCGGGGTACTCGAAGCCCGCCACTCGGCGGGGTGAAACCAGGAGAAGCCCGAGTGCCCGTAGGCCGCGGTCTCGAAGGCAGAGGTCCTCAGGCTCAGCACGTCGTCGGGCACCAGCCGGTCGACCCGGGAGCGCGTCCTCAGCCGCAACCGTCGCCTCCCCAGGTAGATTCGTCCCACTCGCCTTGCGCGCGCCCCCGGTCTTGCTGCCCTTGGGGTCGTAGGGGACCCAAAGTACGGCGCCACGGCGTGCGCGGGCCCGTCTCCCCTGGAGCACCAGCCGTAGGGCGGCGGCGTTCAGGCCGGGGCGCAAAGAGCTCGCCCCGCGGTGCCCGCCAAGCCCGAAAAAAGCCGGGCCGCCCACGCGCGCGCCGAGTCCTGGATGCGGTGCTGGTCCGTGGCCCGGGACCCGGGCGGCCGCTGCGGCCGTTGGCGAAGCGTTGTATCATTCCGCCAGAAGCGCGCCCCCGGGGCCGAACAGTGCGAGCCGGCGGCTCCAGAAAGCGATCCCGGATCGAACATGGCCGCGGGGGCCGGCGCCCACCACTCCTCCCGACCCCGTGTGTAGTTTCCAGCTTCGAGCCAGGCAACGCGGGCGCGGTGGGGCTCCGCCGGCGGCTCGTTCACGCCTTGACTTGTCCGCGACGGCGCGCATGCGGGCCGCGGTACCCCCAGGGGTGCGGTCCCGTGGCGGTGGAGGACGTGGGCCTGGCGCAGGCTGCAGTGCGGGGGCAGCCCGCCGGCCCGGCGCTGGTGCCGGGGGCCCCCCTCCTCGAATTGCTTGCCGATGAAGTAGGGCGAGTAGGCGCCCCTTCTGTTTCAGTGAAGTTGGGGTGCACGCGGGGGGGGCCGCGGCCGCGGTCTCGCTCGGGGGCCACAGAGCCGAGCGGGAGCAGGCGCACCAAAACCGAACCAAATGAAGAGCGAGACGTCAGCAGCACCCCCTTAAAAGCTTCACCATCGGGGGGTTGCGCGCGCGCGCAGCCTCCGCGGGTGCTGCGGGGCGGCGCTTGCGCCCGCCCGCTCGCCCGCCGCCTCCGGGTCCTCACCACAAACTCGTAGCGCGGCCCCGCCGCGGCCGCCCACGGCCGCCACTCTTCCAGAAGCATGTAAGCTGAGACGTGCCCCTCCCGGATGGGGGCCCGGGGCACCCCTGGGGTAGTGGTGGGCAAGGTGGGCGAGTGGTTTAAGGCGTCAGGTTTAGGTTACCCTAGAGTGTGTTCCCATATTCCCGGATGCGCGATTCGAATCTCGTCCTGTCATTTTTGGCACGGCCTCCCGCCGACCGCGCCCGCCGCACCCCCGCGCCGCCCGCGCCGAACGGACCCCGCCCCCCCCGCAGACCCCCCGTCCCGCCCAGGCAGCCTGCAGGCCCCCAGCCTAGCCCGCCCGCCATGCCCGCCCCCCGAAGCAACGCCACCACCAATATAACCGTGTTTTGCCCCATTGGCCAAATGGTTTAAGGCATCCGCCTCCTAAGCGGAAGTCGGGTTCGAGTCCCGTGGGGGTGCTTTTTGCTTCAACACTAATTTACCAAAGAGGTCTATCACCCTACCACTAATACTGCAACTAAATTATGCCCGCCTCAAACGGCGACCACGGCACCGCCCTTGCGGCGCGGCTGTCCGAGGCACGGGGGTCACTCCTCGATCCCCGGGCCCAGCCAGCCCCGAGCGGGCCAGCGCGCGCAGGGCCGCCTGGGCGCCCGGCCGGGCGCTTGGGGCCGTGCCGCCGGTCGCGCGGATTTTGAAATGCAGGGGTTGATGCCCACCTCCTTGCAGCGCGCAGCAACTCCTGGCCGCAAGCATCGCCGGGGGCGGCTCTCGTCGTGGTCCGCCTTGACCTTCATTTCCGCCGGTGACCCCGAGTGGGTTTCCCGACCAGTGAATCGGTAACGTGGAAAAAAGGGGTCGTTGAATGAGGCGAAGTCCCGCAACGCCGAAGTTGAACTCGCCGCGTTGGCCTGGGAGCCCGAGCGTGACGTTGTCAGACTAGGACTACACCGGAGTCGCTCTATCAGCCCGGGGTAGGTGCGGGGGGCGGGGGCAGGCCGCCCTAGTGGCTGCTCATGCTGGCTTCCCCGGCCCGCCCGGGGGGGGCCGCCCCCCACCCCCGCGCCGCCCCCATGCTGGCGGGAGCTCTGTGCGCTCGCTGGCCACCGACAGGTACAACCACGCGGCCAGCTCTTTTCGGGCGGGACTTCGCCCCCCAGCCTGGACCGCTGGACCCGCTATGGCCGCGGCGCAGCGCTGCAGGCCGCCGGCACCTCGGCAGCCACCCCCCGCAAGGCCGGCTCGTACGGCGCGCTGTGCGCGGGCCCGCGCTCACACAGGACTTCTCCCCCGGGGCCGCGCCCCAACTCGGCGCCAAGATCGCCCAGGGGCCCTGGGGCGACCTCGAAGTGACTACGGTGGGCGGCGCGGCCCCCTCCCACTGGGCTGGGGGTGGCGCGGCTTCTGGGAAGCAGGCGGCGCCCGGACGCACGGGGGCGGGCCGCGAGACGCACCCGAGGGGCTCGCGGCGCCAAGGTGGGGGCCGACCCCGCCGGCGCGCCAGCTCACGGAGCTGTTTGTGCGGAGTGCTGCCGGCCGCGCAGACTTCGACCTCGGGCGCGGGCGGGGTCTCGGGCTCGCGCGAGTGGTCCCCGAGCGGCGGGGGCTCCTGGAGGAGCTGGACGCCGCGGAGCGCGCGGGGAGGAGCAGCGTGCCGGCGAGGCCGCGCGTGAGGCCGCGCGCGTGCGCGCGCCGAGGGGCCCCCGAGGCCCGGCACACAACCCGGGCCGCCCAGTCCCCCCAAAGCCCCCGCGCCACCACAGGCAGGGACGGCCGACAAACACGGCCCCGCCCCGTCGCCCGTACAGCCGCGCCTCTGGCGCTGGTGGTGCGGGGCGGCCCGCAGCCACACCACACACAACCTGGTGCTGGGCTGCCCTGCTATCTCGGCGGAACAACCGCGCCGCCGGCACCGGCGCCGCGGCCCCTGGCCTGGGTTGAGCGTGGCCCAAGCCTGCGCAGGGCCTGACCGGACCTACCAGGGCACCTCGCCGTGCTAACCTTGGGCCCGTCTACTCCCAGCCCTCGACCCCAGAACGACCTAGTCAGTACCGTCATACCGTCCAGTCAGTACCATCACAGTCGTAGGGTCACAGTCGTAGGGTCACAGTCAGTACCGTCACACGTCAGTAAAGTAAACGTTCTATATGTACGAGCTCAGTTTATATCTGCCAGCACCAACTCATCAGTTCACCGTCAGTGCGAGCTCGTCGTTCAGTGGTCGACGAGCCATACCTCATCAGTATCATCGTACGAGCTCATCAGTAAGGCTCCACTCAGTCATGCAGGCCACTCGGTCATTCAAACAGTCAGACAATCAATGCAGCGCCACTCAGTCAGTATAGGTTCCTCTATCATACCCAGTCAGTGATACCAGCCAAACCAAGCTCAGTCGTATGCATCCTCTCAGTCAGTAACATTCAGTCTCAGTCAGTATCTCAGGGCCTATTTCCCGTGTATCTATTAGTGTTTTCAGTATACCAGAATCTATCTCTCGTACGAACAGTCGGTACTCGCGGATCCGGCCAGTCTACCCCAGTCGTCTCTATCTCATATCAGTCCACCTTGGCCAGCACCAATGAAGGGCGTGCTGCCCGGCCTCTGCACGGCCCGTCAAAACCCCGCAGCCGCTACACCCCCTGGCCGCACCCCCACCAAGACCGCCCGGAGGGCCGCCCAGCAGGGTCCAGCCAACTATCCATTAAGATACTAACACTCGTGGCGAGCCAGGGGTAAATTTACATCCGGCAGGGTCTCAGCCGCAATGGAGCCCATAAACGGCCACCGAGGCTGGCGCCGGCTCCAAAGATCACCGAGTTGCAGAATCGCCCGAGAGCCGGAGCAGCAGCTGCTGCCTGCCACCGCCCTGCGCCTTGCTTGGTCTCATTCTTTTCCGGGGAGGTCATTGTCAAGAAGGTGTACTGCATAACACCACCTGCATAGGGGTTGCTCTAGTGGGGCGCGCAGGGGGCGGGCCGTGGGGCGCGTGGGCTGCGACGGGGCCGGTCGTGGTGGGGCGCCCGCTAGCAGTGGACCCCATAGCGGGAGCCCGGCTGGCGCCCCCGCCCCGAACACCAGCTTCAGAACCTGCCCCGAGGCCCTGCGGGCGCCGCCCGCTACTGCAACCGCCAGAGCTCTTGGTGTTCGGTTGCCCTGGCTGCTCTGCTGGTTACTTGCGGTTGTACTGCCCGCTCTGCTGGTTCTGGGGGGCTTGCGGGTGTACTGCGGCTGCGCGTAGCCCCCTGTGTTCCCGTAGTACTGCTGCGACTCGTTGCCGGACCCGGTTGTAGAGTCTGCCGCGACCGCCGCCGCGCTCGGGTTGCCCGCCTGCTCGCTCTTCTCAGGTACCATGCAGCAGTAGGGGCGGTGAGGCAGCCGGCGGTATAAATAGTCTGGTTAGTCTTGCGCGTCCGACCGGGGGCGGGCTCGGCGCTGGCGCCGGCACCCCGCCCGGCCAGCCGCAGGTAGGTCCGCCCCCGCCTCGGGGCCAGCGCGCCCCCCCGGCCGCGGCCGCGGCCGGTCCGGTCCCCCCCGCCGCCGCCAGAAAGGACCAGACGAGACGTCGCTGAGGGCGCGCTGCGCCACACCCACGCCCACTCCGCCCACCGGGCCTGGCCGCGCAGGTCCGCCGGGCCAGCACCACCGCCGTAGCTCCACTGTAGTAGTTATGGGGTGGGCGGCCGCCGCTTTTTCCAGCACGCGCAGCTCCCGTGGGCCAATCCGGGCACGCCTGCGCGCTCGTGCAGCCAGCGGCGGTGGTGCCAGAGGCAGCAGCTTTGGGTGGCGGGGCAGCGGCGAGCCCAGCACCACGTGGCAGGTCGAGCCGTCGGCGGCCGCGCGCGCGCCCCGGGCGGACCTGCCGCTTGCCTCGTTCACGGCTGTGTGGTTGTCGACGGTGGCGAGCAGCGCCAGCAGGCCCATTCGGGCACGCGGCCGGCCACTGCGTATCTCTGCCAGCGCCCTTGGTGCACCCCGAGGCGCCCTCCTGCGCTGCAGGTCGTCCTCAGCACGCCTCGGCAGTCTCGATCGAGGGCTGTGGGGGGAGGGGCGCGGCGATGCGCTGCGCGAGCATGGGCTCGGGTAGCCAGTCACGGAGCGGCCGGCCCTGAGGTGGCTGCGGGGCGCGGCACCCGGACCAGCGCGGACCAAGCCCGCGGATCGCCCGGGACCACCCAAGACCGCCCAATGCCGCCCACTCCACCGAACCACCCCACGGGAGCGCCCACCGGCGGACCACCACCGGCAGCTATCGCGAGCACTACCCCACCACACCCCCCCCCCCCCCCCCACAGGAGACCACCAAGCCACCCACGCAACGAGTGCTCGTCGAAGGGGCTCGCAGTGGCGGCCGGGGCTGGAGCGGCGCGTGCGGCCGCTGGCGCGCGCGGCCACGCTCGGCCAGCTGCTCAGGCGCTGGACCCCGCCGCACGCAGCCTCCGGTCCTCGGCGAGGCCAGCTACGCCTCTCGGCCCGCACGGACCCATCGGGCCGGGGGCGGCTTCCCCGTCCAACCCTGATCCGGCTGGCGAACGTGGCGCCGGAGAGCCGTGGCGCGTCGCACTCACCGGCACCCAGAGGTCCCGGCGTTGCTGACGCGCAGACCCTGCTGCACAACAAGCTGGGCCTGGGCGAACGCACGTGGCCGGCCAGCTGCAGCCGCAGCCCGCAGTCGCTGGGCGCGGCTCGGCGACGCTCAAGACGCCGATGCCGCTGGGCGCTGGCCAGCTCCTCCTCCGCACCTTTTTCTCAACCGGCAGCGCCCTGTCCGCGGAGGGCCCGGCCGTCGCGTCGCACGGCGTCGCCGCCACCTCGACGTCCCCCTCGGCGCGACCCTCGCTCCTTCGGGGTCCCAGGCCCCCCCCCCCCCACGCCAGGTCCCAGGCCGAGAAGACCACAGGACCTCAAGACCGCGGCGTGCTGCGCCTAGCCCAGGGCCCGCCCACGACCTCACCTGGAGGCCGAGCAGCCGCGCCGCCGGGCGGGCACCCTCCTTCACCGGCTCAGCGGCCCGCGCCTTGGCAGCGCCGGCCCCGCCGGCCCCGGGCGTCTCCGTCCGGGGTCCGCCGGTACATCCACGGGGCCGCCCCGGCTGGACCGCTTCCTCCTTGGGCGCCGAACCGTGCAGGGGCTTTTTGCGCCAAAAAAGCCTGGCGGCGGCGAGGGGGCACGCCTTCTACGCGCGCGCGCCGCCATGACTGCGGCGTGCCCAACCGGCCGGCCAACTCCGCCCTGCGGCTGACCGCTTTTGAGACGCCGGCGCGCCCGGTAACACCCCACACCACCGTTCGCAACATCCGCGAGTCCTCCCCAAAAGCCGGCGCTCTCGGTCTTGCGGGCTGGTCTAAGCGCGCGGCCCGCCGTGTGCGAGCTGCTCAAGCAAGCCGTGGCGACCACCCACCGCCCCGGGGCGTCACCTCGGGGTTGTGAGCCTGGCCTATGTGCGGCGCGGCCCAGCCTA